ATATTTCAAGGTCTTGGTAATCAGGATATAATAAAAGTGTGTGATTCTAGGATGTAAAAGGATATTTCAAGGTCTTGGTAATCAGGATATAATAAAGTGTGTGATTCTAGGGTGTAAAAGGATATGTCAAGGTCTTGGTAATCAGGAGATAATGAAGGTGTGTGATTCTAGGATGTAAAAGGATATGTCAAGGTCTTGGTAATCAGGAGATAATGCAAGTGTGTGATTCTAGGATTGGAAGACAATATGTCAAGGTCGTAGTAATCAGGAGATAATGAAAGTGTGTGATTCTAGGATTGGAAGACAATATGTCAAGGTTGTAGTAATCAGGAGATAATGCAAGTGTGTGATTCTAGGATTGGAAGACAATATGTCAAGGTTGTAGTAATCAGGAGATAATGAAAGTGTGTGATTCTAGGATTGGAAGACAGTATGTCAAATTTGTAGTAATCAGGAAATAATGAAAGTGTGTGATTCTAGGATTGGAAGACAATATGTCAAGGTTGTAGTAATCAGGAGATAATGAAAGTGTGTGATTCTAGGATTGGAAGACAGTATGTCAAATTTGTAGTAATCAGGAAATAATGAAAGTGTGTGATTCTAGGATTGGAAGACAATATGTCAAGGTTGTAGTAATCAGGAGATAAAGAAAGTTGGAGATTCTAGAAATGGAACAGAATAGGCCAAAGAGTCATAGTTATGGTAGTCAAGTCCTGGTAAAGATCTGTGGTAGCAGCTCGAAACGTCACCCAAACAACTTTCTGGGTAGATGGAGTCTATAAACAATGTCTTCTGTCCAAACCTTCTCTCAAGTAATAACACCAATTGCTTCTGGGTCGTAATGGGGTTTCAGTAAGAAAATTATATAATAGTTTTTAAACTTTATCTTGTTTTTGTATATCTCACAGTTCCATAGCTCAATGGGCTGTTTAAGTTACAATAGGGCAAATATCAGTTGAGCCATTTATATCAGTAGTGTTTGAGAAAACAAGTGTCAGGGTGTAGGAAATCTTAGCTGGCAGAGTGTGTGGTTTAGTATTAACATAGATATGTGAGTTTTAAAATATTATCAGTCATAATGTAATGTTAGATTATCCACATCTGTTGCCCTATGTTATTTAAACATTAAATGAGTACTTTTGTCTACCCAAATATGCCTACATAACACATTACAAGCTTATCTTTCCTAAATTTATTCAGAAAATAGACCAAGAAAATTTTACAAGCTGATGCTAGTTAAATGATAAAGTAGAAATTATTTTGTCAGCTCTATGTGAAATCATAGAGCAATTGGATCTGCTGAATCATTGCATTCAGCCGTAACATAAGGAATATTTCATCTTTGTTTACATTCAAACTGTAGAATAAATGCCTAGTGCTATGGAAATAATAAACCAACTATGAGAGTTGTCTGATGCTATTCAAACAGTATGGTAAACGTATCATTTAATGGTTCTTAAACAACATGTAAGAAACATTATCTGCCAGTTGTTATTCAAACACTAGATTAATGGCATCTTTTCTTTTAGTTAGTCAAACCAACTGTTTGAATTGTTCAATGCCTACTTATAAATGTTCAATAGAATAAAAACGTTGCGTGTATAATCCTATTAAAGAATATTGCGTATAAGTACTCCTTGATCCATAATTATATTTATGTTCAATAGAATAAAAACGTTGCGTGTATAATTCTATTAAAGAATATTGCGTATAAGTACTCCTTGATCCATAATTATATTTTTGTTTTTGGAATCCAAAATCCAGGGCGCATTTTATATCCCACATTATAGCCTATGCTCTGATGATACTTTTATTTATACAGCGTCTTTAATTTATTTTATTTTTTTGTTTGGGCTTGTTTCGTTCATTAATATTTATATATTGCCATTTTTAATTAATTAGAAACACGTGAATAAATTTTACATATTAGCTATAAATGATTAATTTTTGTATTTATGGGACTCATTTAAGTTCAATAAAAGTGCTATAAACACTAAAATTGGTAATGTTTCTGATTATATTTCCAAATTATTATCATAGCACTTTGACAAAAATAATACCGATGCAGTCTTCGAAAATTAATGTGATTTTGGATGTTAGGTTTGTTTGTTTGAAGTTAAGCACAAAGCTACACAATGGCCTATCTGTGCTCTTCCCATCGCGGGTAACGAAACCCGGTTCCTAGGTCCGCAGACATACTGGTGGGCGGATGTTAGGAATTAATTAGTAGATATAACTGACATATCAATGTTGCAGTGTTAGTTTCCATTATGTTCATAATCGGAATATTGGTTAAAACATAAAAAAGGAGAAGTAACTTATTCGTGCATATAACTTTGGAATATAGTTTGCGATAATTTCCTTAGTGTTTCACGCCTGCTGGGTTGTTTTGAGCCACTTTTAGTTACTTTAACTCGAAGAAGTTAAACTTAGACATGTAGTTCAGACAAAGCAACTTGAGAAACAGTTTTGATTCTTAAATTTAAAGTGAAGAAATGCCAGTTCTAAGTATGGTTAAAGATTTAAAGTTTTAATATACTTGCTGTGGAAATTATTTTTTTTTAATTTTACGTTAGTTGATATACCTGATAATCATAATAAGTTTACAAACCTTGATAAACGTAAAAATTATTATGAATTTATCATAGAAATTTGTATGAAATTCAAAGGCGTTAAAGTAGATGGGACAAGACTTCAAGACTTACAGTTGCAGTAAGGGTTCTTCAAAACCAAACAAGTTTTATACATAAAAGCAAAACAATTATAATAAGGGTAAAAAATGAG